AACATGTTTGACTTTGGAATGTTTCCCTTTACCAAATAACTCTACTAGCAAGTCCACGAAGTAAATCTGCCTGGAAAAATCGTTAGTCGCACATTTGGATAAAAATATTCCTCGCCATTAGTAGAAGACAAAAGTTTATTACCTTTCTCATAACACGTCGTGATTGCACCTTTTTTCTCAACCAGTTTAATTCGGTTTACAATTCCGCATTTGTTTCCCTTGGGACCCATTAATGTCCTCCCATTTACACTTCTGAGACCCACAGTCTGTTTGCTTAAGAAGTTCCATCTCAATTTTTCATGCACTTCTCTCGTTCCCCATGCGTGCTGCAGGCCCTGTCTATTATATTCTCTTTGATCTTATCACCCTACTATTATGTTTAGCGTTAATTATAAACCCCTGAGCGTTTAATTCTCTTAAGCTTTCTGCGAATTCATTCTTCTTTCTAAAATTATCCTAAGTATCCTGTTTCCACAACCCCCATTTACCTACTCCACTTTATGTAACACTATAGTTTGTTATAGCCTATTTTAATCTTTATACATTTATATGGGCGACAGGAGGAATAACAAAATATTCTCGATATTTCACGTGTTGTTACCCTCACAATTGTAAATTTAAAATCTTACTAAGACTGACAATAATGACCTGGTGCAAAAGTTTTACCAATTCGTGCTATACCTTCCGCGCTAACAAAACAATAACGCTAAGCGTGAAAATTTTTAAATGTGGGAAATAGCTTGAATATGACAAAAGATATTATTAATAATACCTGTGACGCATTTCACTCTGGGCACCCCAGTTAGATATTACTGCATGCTCTTGAGGAAGACAGCAATATTAATTCACCAAAAACACCTTCTTTATGTGTGACGACTTTCTACCGTAGTGTTGTAATAGGAAGGAATTTCGCGGACTAAATAAATCATTTTACCCACTTTTTCAGTCCACACAAGAGAAGTTGACTGTTTCAGGGGAAGTCTTTTGTTATGGCTGCAGTACAGTAGAAACCTGGAGGCAAGTGACAACGAGTAAAAAATGTTGCTGGAGGTTGTTCCTAATGGAAAAATGATTTACAATGGCAACAGATAAAAAGACTTAGTCAGGAAAACGGCCGTGGAAAGTTTAGAACTATAACATTGCGGTTGACTCCAGCCTTCCGCCCACCTCAAAAAAAAAAAATGTGGTGTTTAGGAGGACTGGCGAAAGATTTTGCCTCATACAGACGCTGTACCAACTTTTAACAACTCTTCTTCAGCACTTTTGTCTTTCCAAAATTCAGGATCACTATTCTATCACAGAGTCTCTTTAGTTGAACATATCCAAGAAATATATTAAGAAATTCCATATCGAAAGCCAATTCATTTACATACGAATTCTGAATAGATTTATTTTAAATTATAACCAAATAATTTGAATCAGAATTTAGTTTTTGTTTTCATTGGACTGAAGTTTTAAGTTCGAAATTTAACACGAATCAGTAAAGTGCCTAGTTACAGGATGGTCGATCAGGGTTCGATTCTCAGGAGGGGCAGTTTTCTCTCTTTGTTTCGAAGAATGTCTGGTGATGAGAGATGGGCCTTCCAGTATTCCCCAGAAACAAAACGCAATGTGTACAGGGAGCAGCACAGATATTCTAGTGTTGAAGAAATTTAGAAAAAAACGTTAACAACAATACTGAAAGGACTTTCAGTATATTATTTCTTATAATGCTTCCAATTATGGCAGACATCTTAGAATGAGCAAAATAGTAGTCTACTTCAACAGTGACAATAGTCGTGTTACATGAATGTACACGGTTGCAGTATCATATAGGGTATTTCAGAAGTCCCTGTGCACTGGCACGAACAGCAAATTTTGGAAGCGGGACCTAATTCGGGAGTCTCTGTGCACATAAACACGTGCCGTGGTAGCGCATGTAACACGTGTTATGCGACTGTATTACCCTGACCAGTACCTTCCATTAATCAGATGTGCGAACTCCTTCAACATCCGCAAATGTGAAAATGGTATTGACGCTTGAGGCCCAAATGTTCTTGGCGAAACAGGGGAACACGTGTTTCTCTGCGGGAGTGAAGACGTTAAATAGAAGTTTGCGAATTTTTTTCCCAGAATCTCACGTGCCACATCTCAACAGTTGACTGACAAATTCGCGGAAACTCAGTTCTTGACGCATCCAGACCCGGCATTCGACGATCCTTAACTGAGGACAAAGTACTGGATATTTCTGATAGTAAAAGTTAATTAGCAAATTGTCTCATCAAGGAGGTGTCTCATATTCATCAACACTGGGAGCGCTTAAAAGCAACTGCAAATGCATCCATAAGATATAACATCAATGCATGAAGTTAAAAAAGTCACAACTGCAAGCATGTGCAATACTTCCGACGGTTTAGACTTTGTTGCCGCCAATGGAGAAGATATTCTGGATGTCATATTTTTTAACGATGAGCCGTGGTTCAATTTATCTGGGTACTTTAATTCCAAAACGAGCCTCATGTGGTCGGCGTTTAATTCGCATGAGATTATGGAGACACCAGTGCGCGATATAACGAAGTCAGTTGCGCCCACATTCCTTGAGGAAATTATAAACTCTGGACGTTATATTATGAATTAATTCCGTGCCCCTTCACTTGAAATTTTAATGAGGACATTGCCCACGGCTACTCCCAGCAGGATGGTGCTACAGTGCACTGCGATTCTGCGTGATGTATTCGGTGAAAGACTAATTTGAAGGGGTACTTGGCCACCGAGTTCGCCTGACTTTAACCCACTAAGTTTGGTCGGCGAGGAGTAATGAAAGCTTCAGACTGTAAATAAAATCCTTGTAGTCCTCGACACCTGAAGGATGCAACACTAATTTATTGAGGAATATCTTCCATGGTGAACTGTGACACGTCTTCACCATCGGGATATACTAGGCAGATGCTTGTCCACGAGCACATGGGGCTCACTTCCAACACTTGTAAATAAAAGTTGGTTCACTGTGAGAAATATACGTTTTCCTACAGGTGCACAGAGACTTTTGAATAATCCTGTATTTACAGAACAAATCTGGTAATAGTATACTTAGAAATAATGATATTAAAATACAGAAATGAATCGAAAGGACATTAGAACGACAGCTAAATACTTATACAACAAAACAAACTCGATAGTATCGATCACGAGGAAATAGTTTGGATCGACTAAGAATAAGACAGATACAGCAGTATCGTAGGTGGCCCACTGTCAGATCCCTTTACTCCTTAAATAAGCATAACAAACTTTAATTAGCACTGCATTACGGAAAGCTATGCACCGCCACTGAACCGTGTCTTAGCCATCCTAATTCAGTTCCCTATATTATCTAAATAGGATTATATGAACATGGTTTCCAGACTATACACATTTACCCTCTCGCATCTCTTCACGGGTTCAAAAATTCTGTGTGAGCTTTCTTTTCCCAGCGTCCTCCGCGTATATTTTTGGCCCACGTAACCTCGTTAATGTAACGATATTACGTAAAGAAAACACGTGGCCAACGCTCTTATATTAAGCTCGTCATTCCTTTGTCACGTCATCTAATTCGGTTAAATCATAACATACAATGAAGTACAATATTCCTAAGCACCCTGTTTTCTCTTACAAAAGTGTATCTACGTTTCATGAAGTGGCAAGGGCGTGATTTTACTGAACTAACACTGTGAAGTAGAGTCCTTATGGAGAAAATAACTGTCCCTCAATTAGTGAAGATATTTTCTGTATTTTACTGAACTCGATGGACAATAACTGTGTTTGTAAGGGCCCTTATTGGACTAACTCTGAACCACGCGAATACAGTCCACGTCCCCAGAATCTACTGAAATCCTTCATAAAATATATGATCTTTACATCTACATCTAGGTCTTTCAAGTTATTTTCTCCGTTCACTTTCTTGTGCACTTTCTATAATTGTTTTTATTTAATTTGGTAATATTTTGTACAGACTACAACACCAGTAGTATGTTCAGATCAGAATAATACCATTTCTATAAATTCTATCTTTTACTGAGAAAAATACTGATAATCGTTGCCATTGGCTGTTTTCATTATCTCCCGAGACTTTAAAATGGGCATTCTCAATAGTGAAAGTGTGAGCTGAATTGATGGTTTAAGCAGTAGCGAGAATTTATTTTGGAAAATAAGAAACTCTCATTTAGATATATATATTTTTTTAGACAGGGCCTTTAGTTACCAGTTTTTCTTTCTGTGTATGTAAGTTTCCGTGTATTATAACAAGATACACTTTTTTGATGTCCAATGTACAAAAATGTATCATAATCACCACAGAAATATATAACGCACAAGCGCAATTAATAATCAAAGAAACAACGCAGAGAGTGTTATCATTTAGGACTCTACCCATACCACAGTAACAGAGAAATATCGCTCGCTGTTTGGCAGCGTCATGCGAACCCCTTTCACTTTGCTACTCACATTTACCTGTTCCGCTTTCACAAATTTCGCTAACAAGGGTGTAAACTTTCTGTTTTCAAAGCATGGTGTGAGGACAAGAGTCTGATACTTCGCCATGATATGAGGATGGGTATTAATTACTTAAACCACATACTTTCTACCTAGTTACGTTTTACTGACGGCATAGTTTTAATAAAAATCTATGTCAACAAACGTTTCGACGTGACACAGTGCTGAAGTTTCCACAGAATTTATCGGTCAAGCAAGTACGGTATGTTATATAAGCACAAAAGTACCCATGCGAATTTAACAGAATTTGCAATAACACAAGATTTCTACAATCGGTGACTATGACACATACAGCCTACTGAAAATAATGTATTTCGGTATAGGCCGAGAGGCGATTGTGACAATAAGGAGAAAAATTACAATATTATAAGTTATGTTATGACTAGTGTTTGCCTGTTATTGGCTTCTTGCTGTTGGCAAACACGTAAATAAATTAATTGAATTGAATTGAATTGAATAGCAGGGCCTAAACAGTTGCATAAACTGTGACTTACCAAAGGCGTGTATCTTTCGCCCTGAAAGCGCCGTGGTGGAACAGCAGATTCACTGTGAACGAAAATAACTTTTTTAATCAAGACCTCTACAAAAATAAGTAATTACTAACTCAATGAAGCAGTCATTCCTGAGAAGCTAATAGTTGCTCAAGTAATTAAGAAATTCCCCCTTATGACGAACCCGAAGATTAATTATCGTGTTCATAATAAACCTCAATTTACCCAACCTTAGCCGGATGAATCCAGTCCACACCATCATGCGGTATTCATTTTTAAATACATTAAATACATGCGATTAAATCTTGTACGCATTTACCAAGTTTCCCAAGCGTGCTGTACGTTCCGTCTATTTCACCCTTTGTAACGTGATCATCCTACCTAATATTAGTCAAAGAGCTTAAATTCCCTTATCTCACCATATATAGATCGAATAAAACGAATTTTAGTCATTCTTTATGCATGAGTAGGCTTATCTGCCACGAACCATACGAGAGAGCACATAGGAAATATAAGAAACACGTCTGGGTAGCGAGACAAAAAGTCTGTAACGAAACTCTTGTTCGAACTGCGGACCCTTTCCTAGGCGTGAGCACAGCAGAGCAGCGGGAGAGAACACGCCAAGGTCTCATCACACGTGGCGCTGAAGTGTAGGTCATGACGCCATTACTAAAGTTTCGGAGGAACCTACTGCATCTATTTATAGGCATCATGTCTACCCTGATGTTGGCGGCGACAGGTTTATCTGAAACAGTGTTAACTACTCACAACACCAAATTACGCAAGGGGTTCTTTTCACCTACTGAGCGACTGCTAGGTCCCTGCAGCACAGGCCTCTTTCAGTACATTTAGCTGCTATTCAACTTTTAATCTGCGATAATATTTCACGGGCTGCTCTTTTCAGGCACAGAAATGAAATAAATTATTTGCTCGTTCTTCTTTTCACAATATAAATTAAATGTTATGATTTAAAGCAAACTTTGGCTTGAAAAAACATAATCCTGTTGAAAACATAAGAATAATTTATACTCTCTTAATGTGAATAAGAATGAATTACAAGAAATTCATTATCAACACAGGAAACATTACTGATAACTAAAAACATTTACCTCACACGTATCTATATAATGTTAAATAATTTGCATAACATTATCCACTAACAGACACCTAGTCATGCCTGTAACTGAACAACAATTTTATTACGAAATTCTAGCTTAAATAATGTAAACTAAACTGGAAAATGTATTTCGGACTCTTGTTAAAATATATGGAAGAACCGCTTCATAGTACAGTGTTGGATGTAAAATCTATGAATTAAGTGATAAATGCATACAGGATACTTAAGTATAAGTCACTTACAAAGGCACTTTTAAGTTTCATGGTGGAAATGGCCCATTAGTTCTACCTCTACCATAAAATAACTTATGTAATGGCACTCAACAATACCACTTTTCTGTGGAAAAATAAGAGTGATGGTCCCTTCGGACTGGAATCCCCTCCCACACACACACACACACACACAGCGTACCACGAATGCTGTGACTGTGGCTACGAGAACAATGTAGAGTTGACGTCAGTGCCTGTGAGATCACATTTAGGCTGCCCACTCGTCTCAGGAGTACGGCAAGTTGACTACCTGCTATGGTCTTCAGCCAGAGGCTTTTCTCAAGGGACCGGAATTGCTGGCGTCTGCATTATCATAAATTAAGACAACATGACCGATGCCTGGGGAATGTAATATATAACTAAAATATGACCCCTTACGTTTCATATTTCATAAATTTAGCAAAACCAGAACTGCATTCTGGTGTCGACGTACATCTTGTGGGTAGCAACGTCGGAAGTATAAATATGTACCTTGATGTTGGAAACAGTATGTTTCTTCTAAACGTCGACATCAAAGCTGTCACTAAAGGGGCGAGGGCCACGGGCCAAGCAATCTATGTGGTATCCCTCTTTAAGATGGCTGTCTTCTGTGTTGTTGCACCGTGTAGTCTGGTAGATCGGCGCAACAACCCTGATGACAGCCATCTTTAGAGTCACCGCCGTGAAAACCTCAGATCCTACACAGCCCTCTTAAGATTTGATTGGGGGTGGGGGGGGGGCAAAGTCGGTATTCTGCAGGTTTAATAATACTGGTGCCAAGCTGCATATTTTTCAAGCAGTGCATTAATATCTCCGTCCTGGATTACAGTGAATATAAGTTTATTCCTTTAAACTGCAACCCACCCATCACGATCGCTACTATAAGACTGCCAGTGAGCTTTGCCTCAAATTTTGAATCATGCCTTTCGTTACAATTTGTAATGTCGTTAATGATACTGGAGCAGATTAATGAAGTACCAATAACTATTACACACTGAATATTAAACACACAGAAAAATACAAGACGAGATATCAATGACAGAATATTAATATAATTTTATTAATCTATTTTTTAATTCTTCCCGTGACGTCACAGATGTTATGCACTGCGCTGCTGCAGTAGAAGGCAGACAGGAAGTCTGTGTCACCTAACGGCTGACTTGAGAGAAACAAATATTTGGGTGTGTGCGGTCTCAAATCTTTCGCCAGCCAAGAAGTACCACAGCTGGACCATATCCGAGGCTAGATAAACCAGGGGGCCCAGCAGATAGAATCTCAGTCCTTTTCCTCCTATTTTACTTGAAGGCAAAATCAGAATTTAACTTTCAAAAACTTATAGCTTTATAAAGTTTAATTTAGACGATAGACGGACAGCTTTACATGTTAAGAAGTGCATCTCTATGATGGAACACTCTCAATCCTCCTGGTTACGTTCTGTCAGTTGGGGCCAAATATTCTCCCCAGAACTCTGTTGTCTAGCACCATCAATCTTCGTTCTTCCATTAGTGTCAGTGGTAGAGCTTGACACTCACATAAAGTGGCAAATAAAATTTGTGTCGACGTTTATCTTTTGTTTTCAAAAGCCATGTGGACTTGTAGGTACATACTAGCGTTTCAAAGAAACATAAATCTCTACCTTCAGGGTTAAATAAAAGCTCTAATGTACTATAAAACTCATGTGAATGCGGCCATTTTAAACGAAAGATTCAGTCTGTCCTAGTTATGTCCAAATAAATCATGATGCTTAGTAAAAAGAGCTAAAGCAAACGCAACCTGCATTTTACTTAAGCCCTTCTTATACATAAAATAAATATTCTACCAAGTTACGCTAAAAATTAAATATAAATTTTAAGTACCTTTAAGATAGTAGACATAATAGTTTTTTACGCTATGAATAATGCAACAGAAACTTGTGAAATATCATTGAAATAAATCTAATTTTAGAGATGTTAAGTCAGTTTAAAGTATTACAAATAAACGAAAGCTCTATATTTATGTAGGCGCAATACTGACTCTGCTCCCTAGTTCCCAGGATGCACTGCGCGCGTTAATCTACTCATATCTTGGAACCACTCGTTGGAAATATGGGGGACAGAAGAGAGGACATTTCTTGAACGTATGTAGATGCGCGCGCAGCATGTTTCCTTCCTTGCCGCTCGCTGCGCTCTTACAGATCCCAAGACGTCTGGTAACTAATGCATGTACGATTATTATACAAACCGCATAATGTTATTTGTATCTGATTTAACTACACTAGTATTATAGACTGTGGTTCTTTTGTGCCTGCTTAAAATTACCGGAACATGTAGCACGCATGGGTAAAATTAGGAACCGAAAAATCTGATAGGAAGACAGTTGAGAGACATTGCCACAGATCGTGGGATATTATTGAAACTTAGCTTAAAGAAACGGACTATGAGAGTGTGAACTTTATTCAAGTGACTTATATGGATAAGAGCCCACAGACGGGCCGTCCTGAACATGGCAGCGGGGCTTCAGATTAATTCTCCCCTCCCAGAAGGCTTTCTTATTGAATCATTTGCATGGACTTTTACGTCTGTTATATTTTCCTGAAATGGGCAACCCTGCTCTTTGCATTCCAAACTTCACTTCTAGTTCCATTTCAATTACGACACTTGAAAGAGTAATATTCTAAAAGCGTTTCTTTGAAGAACATGATTGAAATCCTTCAATGATACTTTTAGGTTTTTGGCGTGAAAAGAACCTCTCTCTTGCGAATGACATAGCAAAACATAATAAAGAACCTAGGTACAAAGTGACTTCTCTTTGCATCTCAAAAAAAAAGTAATCAAGTTTAAGTTTAGCTCCAGTTCATTGTTTCTCCAATTATGTGTAACAATTTTATAATTTTTCATTGTAACGTCCACCAGATAACACAGAATACAGTTTTATATTGTTATCTGTAATATTTTGAATTCTAAACGGAATACAGAAATTCAAAATCAAAATTAATGGGTTTATACATTTTTTATTTTATAATTTTTCATTGTAACGTACACCAGATAACACAGAATACAGTTTTATATTTTTATCTGTAATATTTTGAATTCTAAACGGAATACAGAAATTCAAAATCAAAATTAATGGGTTTATACATTTTTTATTACTTCTTTTGTACTAGTGTGTTCGTTTGTTTCCTTTTGAATGTGTGCTGCAACTCACATTTCAAATCTGGCGCCTCGCACAATATCAGATAGGATTATCTGTGTCTCACAATAGCAGCAAAGACAGTGATTCTTAGGTTACCTCAAGACATCGAATGTGTAATATTATGTCGAATGATAGGAAATGATAATTCTAAACTGAATGGTAGAGGTTGTGATGTAGTCTATATAAAATCGAAATCCAAGAATCTGCTCGAGAAACTGAGAGAAAGAAATATACGAAAACCTGTCGGAACAGCCTGTCTTCGGGGCGAGATTCAAAACCTGGACATTCTGAATATTAAGCTAGGCTGGAGTGTCAAATATTCGACAGTCATCCATCGCAGTTTAAACTAAAATTCCTGCAAGTTATCTTGAGATTTTTCTTCCTAGTTACCACCCCGTCCGTCCAGAAGCGACACGATCGTGCAAGCAGCTACTGACTTCAGTAAACATCGGTCGAGTATAGCGTAATTATAAATGCTTGCTTGTTTTAAATTACTTTGTTAAACCTGTTTCTATTGGC